AATTTTAGATAATCATTCCTACGAACTTTTATATTGTATATTATGATCTAAAATTTTTAATCAGTACTTAATTTACATATAACAGTATTAACAAAAAATCATTTAAAATTTAAGCAATATTAATACAAATCAACTTGACAGTCGCACCTTTGACTCAGGAGTCATGAAAGAACCACCTTAAGAGGTCACGAAGTGACATAACGATGAGTTTGAATGGACGGAGTTTATGGTATTCCATTAATCTAACTGGGCTACAAGATCATTAGCTTTCATATTTCCATGTGGACAAGTGACAGTATAGTTAGTTTTTGGGTTTCTGAGTTTAAGCGTTAATAATTTAGGGAGGGTTTGAATGTTTTTCAGCCGATTGCTTCACTTATAAAAAATAGTTAGTGTTAAATAAATCTCATCGATATGCAAAGTAAACCAGATGATGATCGTTCGATTTTTTTAGTAATCAGGATTATCTGACAAAATCTTTGATTCTCAAATTGATGAAAACCAAATTTGCTAAGGAAGTAGGGTATCAGCTTGATAATATACATTTTTACGCTTTAAGACAATTAATGTTGCAATCTAATAATGGACATGAATCGTTTCACGGTATTATACATCATTTCTGTGATATAAGGCTTTGATTAAGACTTATTAAAGAATAGCCTCAGTGATCTCAGTCCCAAAATTTAGTAGAATAAGCCAATTAAGATGCAAATAACACGTTTACGTTACGAATGACACACAATAAAAGTAAAAAATAGTCTAAAAGACTGATATTCATTAAAAGTAAAATAAATAGAGCTTTATATAGAAGCATTAATGAATATATGTATTCTTCAAGACCTTATTACGATATCTTTTTTTTTTTACTCAATTATTTAATATCATAAAAACTAGTTTTTAATACATTATTACAACTTTTCTATAGTGGCACTTTACACCTACGCTAAATTTGCACTTCGATAACTGATGAGAAAAAAAAGGTCAGACACATACAGTAGACAATTTTTATTTTTAAGTCTGTAACAAAAAAATATAACGTGCTTACCAGTGTCAAATTTGCAGTGTTGATATTCATTTCATTAACGGTTTAAAAATTTTTGGAGGTGATGAATAGTACGGTTTATTTGTCATATATAATTTATGGATTTTAATAATAAGCATGAGAACTAATCAAGACAAAGCTAAGTTAGGATGGCTATGAAAAGCAGAAAAAGTTTGTTTGTCTAACTCAAAATCACTACTTATTTAAATTTCATGTTTTGATTTAAGTTCCAGATGTTGTTAGAGATCCGTTGACTTCTTAAAGTATGTTTTCTGTAATTATAAATATAAATCCAGATAGGCTGTATACATAAGATACAAAGATAGTATCTTTAGTCGACTAGACGCTTAAAACAAATTTATGGAAGCATTTTGCAAGATGTATATTTGGAGCTCGTAACTGAATTTTCGCTCATGCGTAATAACAAGAAGACGAGACGCCGTGACGCTGCACTTCAGCGTCTGATACCTATAGTTTTTCATTCTGGCGCGGTCAGTCTGTCTCTTTTACACGCACTCTCTGTCTTCGCACAACCTTTGATTTGATCTTACCTTTTCAGTTCGGTTTACTATTGTACTTAAGATTGTAAAAACCTAAAGATAAAACATACTTAAGATAGTGATAATAAACGTGTTTGTATTTTGCAATAAAAGCGATAGTGTTGTACATTCTATTTGCCTGATCACTTACCCATACATCCATACTGCTAACACATTTATAAAAAGACTTATTGTAATTTCTAAAAAAAAGGATGTTTCAAAGTCTGATATACCTTTTAAGATATCATTAGTTATAAATTCAGGGTCAAAATATGTATGTAGTAGCTACTCTTGTGAAAAGTGTTATATTACTGAGAATTGTCGGTGTCAATCAAACAATTTTTGAAATTATATATGTTCTCTAAATACTACTCGCAAAAATAGTTTAAATTTCTGTATTTCTTACTTAAATAAAAGTTTACCATATGTTACATTCTTCAAAAACAAAATAAATGATTTATGGACTTGAGCTACAAATACACGATGTTTCATTTCAAAAACAGTTCAAAGAAAATCCTAATGATTTTTTTTCAATAACTACTTGTAATGTAAATCTGTTGACTAGAACTAGGTTTCAATGCTTTTTTTAGCCACTGGCTGTTTTTAGCATTTGTACCTAGAATATAAACTATAACTTCACAATTGTTTGAAACGTTTTTATCAGTTGATCTCTTCGAGAAAAAATCCTTTAAACTTTATTATAACTCAAAACTTCTGACTAAATCCTTTTAAACAAATTTGGTTAAAAAAGCTAGTTCTATATAAAAATTCACATAAGTGATATTCTTGAAACATAATAAATTTAATCAAACAACTGATATCAGTTTCGTTCTTAGCAGAAATAAAAGTATATAAACAAGCCAATACTAATGACTAGGTGTGAAGAAAATAATGAGATTCTTTTTGTAAAGTATGCAATAAATGCTGCAATGTCAAACGATTATACAGCAAAATCACTTGTATATTTATTTATTTTTGGTCCATATAATTGCATAATATGAAGTAAGATCGTTAAAGAATGTAATCCAACTTTACTTAATAAAATTCATAAACGTATAAAGTACTATAATGCTTAAGTAAGATCAAGTGTTTTGTTTGTCAATTCAAAGAAAGTTTTTATGATTCTAGTGGGCTAGGTACTACGAGATTTTCTTGTTTTAGATGAATGCAAGACTCCCCTTGGTATACATTTATTATATAGATTTATTAATGACATACTTTAGATGCATTTTCACATATTTTTAGAAGTTATTGCTCATTTTTCGATATGTTTAATTAAGTAAAACAAGTAAACTGCAGGGTTGCATCTTAATACAATTCAGTGTATTTGTATAAATATTATTCATTATTCTAGCTTTCTAGAATTCTACTTAAAACATTTTTTTCGCAATCATTTCATAAACTGTTATTTACAAATAGTGGTAAAAAAACAAACTTCCAAGACTCTAGTCCCATCCGTATATCTGGTACTGGTTGCACAAGTTTCTTACAGACAGTCTACCAATCACGTAGTAGTGAAATAAGTAATCACCAATTTCTATTATAGTCTGTTTTTAACTTTCAGATTTTTAACAGGAACTTTTTCTTGTATTGATACTTTTTTCCTATTTTATAGGTAGTTGTGGGTATGTTGAACTATTTCCCAACCATCATCAACTATATATCCAATCGTGGACATTATAACACTATTATTGGACAATACCTTAATTTGATATTTAATAACAATCATAGCCTTAAATTTTAAATGCTATACATCAGTTTAAAGTTAAGTATATAGTTTAGATGATGAGAGATTATGATTCGTTGAAATATATTTTGTTATCTATCATAAAAATATTTACTAATATTCTTTTTAATGTTCTGAATATGGTAATAATAAGGTTGCCTAAAATTCCACAAATTAGAAAACACCCCCCCCCCCCTCAAATAAGTGGATTTTTAATATTTAAGAATGTAGTTAAAGGGGTTAGAAAAATTAATTAAAGTAGCCATGGTGGAGTGGAGGTGCTTTTTTGTAGGCTAAACGAATCTATTATTTACCTTTTTATTGCTGTAGGGGCATAGCTACATGATGAACGCCGAAAATATCAATTTTTTTGAGGGCGCCACTTGTTCTACACATAGCGAATAGAATTTACCATGCTATAAAGAAAACTTTGTTGCAATAAAAATTATGGTGAAATTAAAGATATTTTCTAATTGTGTAGGACTCTAAATTACTAAAAGATTGCTTTGGGCAAAAGTGGTGGCAGTTATTTTTAAATTATATAATATCTTACAAAATATAAAAAAGCTACATTTTGCTTGTATTGAGATGTGCAAAGTAAGATATTTTAAGGGGATCCAGTGTATCGGCCGGAGTTTCTACCTTCGCAACTTCTCTATTGTAAGAAAATATATTTAATAAACTAATCATCTAGTTCTTTAAATCCAAAATAAGGAGAAGAGTCCCCAAACTGGCACTTTGAGGAATCAATCGAGCTCAAATTCGATGCAACCCGTTGCAAATCGAAAAAGAAAAGTTATACTTCCTGATCATAAAAGAGTGTGTCAGTGTGCATAATCTAAAATGTAACTTTTTTCAAAAAGTAATGCATCGAATTATCTGAAATTTTGACAGAGCCTCTAAAATAAAAAGACAAATACGAGTCCTCTCATGTTTTTTGAAAATATACAGTTGAAATTATGAACTTACTTAGCAAATGCAGATTTATAGGTTATGTAATACCGTTCACGATATATGTCAATTTTTATAACTCAATAATTGCAAAACTACGAGAACAGCCGTGTTTACTTTTTTATTTTAGAGGCTCAGTTCAAATTTCAGATAATTCAATGCATTACTTTTTTTTAAAAGTTATATTTTAAATTATGCACACTGACACACTCTTTCATGATCAGGAAATGTAACTTTTCTCTCTCAATTTGCAACGGATTGCAATGAATTTGGGCTCGATTGTTTCCTCAAAGTGCAAGCTTGGGGGCTCTTCTCCTTATATTGGATTTAAACAGCTATAGATAATTAGTTATTAACCATTACTTTTCAAAATAGAGAAATTGGTTTAGTAGAAACTCCGGTCGATATACTGAATCCCCTTAATGATTTAACATTCCAATAACATTATCTTTGTGTATACTCATATACAAATGGCCTAGAGTATGACTTATTTTACAAATATATATGTATTTCAGAGATGTGTTAAAACTTTTTTCGGTAATTTTGAGTTTTATGAGCTTTTAAGAACCTATGTTAGCAAGTAGCGAATCCTAGTAAAAGCCTAATAACAGTCTAAGAATTTATATGTTAGATTTTAAAATATAAATCACTTTTGCTTCTTAACATGTTTAAAATAATTAATTTCCATATTTAAGGATCCCAGCCATTACCATTAGCATAACAAATACTTTTATTTTTTTATAGGCCAATGCAGTGGCATCCCAAAAACGTGCTCGAACAAGAATCACGGATGACCAGTTAAAAATTCTCAGAGCTCACTTTGATATAAATAACTCACCAGGAGAAGATCAAATAATTGACATGGCAACTCAAAGTGGCTTACCTCCAAAGGTTATCAAGCACTGGTTTCGTAATACACTATTTAAAGAGCGTCAGCGAAATAAAGACAGTCCTTACAATTTTAATAATCCACCAAGTACTACCCTAAATTTGGAGGAGTACGAAAAAACTGGTGAAGCAAAAGTGATACCCTTAGACTCTACTACACTTATTAATACCACAGAAGTTAAAAATGAAGAGAAGCGGTTACTCACATTAGAAACATGTATTGAACCTCATATGTCCTTAGACAGTATTATAAAACAGGAATGCCATGATCAAATAACCATCCACCATACAAAGGATGAATATCCATCTCCAGAAAGCTCGGTAGATCGATCATCTCGAACACAATCACCCGTCACATCTTCTGTAGTAACTAGCTCTCACCATGACACGTGCTTAACTTCTGTATCTATCGTATCTCAAACGTCAACAATGCTTCCTCCTAAAATTATGCCACAAAATCTTAACATATCAGGTCCATCTATCACAGCATCTTCGTCAAACAGTACGTCTCCGATATGCTTATCTAACCAAAGTTGTAGTAGTCCAACTAAAGTAGCAGATTTCTCATTCCACTGTAATAATAATTCTAACAATTTTGGAAATAGCTCTGGAAAAAGAGCTAATCGCACTAGATTTACTGATTATCAAATTAAGGTACTGCAGGAATTCTTTGAAAATAATGCTTACCCAAAAGATGACGATTTGGAGTATTTAAGTAAACTTTTAGGACTGAGTCCTCGAGTTATTGTTGTCTGGTTCCAAAATGCTCGACAAAAAGCTCGCAAAGTATATGAAAATCAACCTTCTGTTGAACCTGTTTTTTCCGGACGTGATAGTGATGATGGAACCGGTAGATTTCAAAGAACACAAAGTCTTAACTACCAATGTAAGAAATGTTTACTTGTGTTTCAGAGATATTATGAACTGATCAGACATCAAAAAACTCATTGTTTTAAAGAAGAAGATGCTAAACGAAGTGCTCAAGCTCAAGCTGCAGCAGCTCAAGTAGCTGCTGTGCTTAGCTCTGAGGATAGTAACAGTAGCTCAACAACAACAAATACTCTCCAATGTGCCTCTATAAATACTCAGTCAGTATTAGAGCCGTCTTCAAATTCGAATACTGCAATATTTCAACAGCAAGCATCACCCCAACAAAATCAAATAAATCAAAATACTTCTCAATCAGAATCTAAAGATGAAAACTTTCAATGTGATAAGTGTAATCTCGTTTTTGGGAGATTTGAGTTGTGGCGTGAGCATCAATTAGTACATATCATGAATCCAACACTATTTTCTCCAAATTATCCGCCAGATTCAGCATTTGGTATATTACAACAACAAGGAATAAATGACTCTAGTTTATCACTTGAAATATCACATTCACTGTTAGGAGTTGTAAACGAGAGAAAAAAAAAATATGACGATTTTGAAGACGGACTAAATGCAGATAACAAATCCAATGTAGATCAAGCAGAACAACCAAAAGATAAACGCCTACGCACAACTATTCTTCCGGAACAACTTGATTATTTATACCAAAAATATCAAATAGAATCAAATCCCTCTCGAAAAATGTTGGAAACCATAGCAAGAGAAGTTGGTTTAAAGAAAAGAGTTGTTCAAGTATGGTTTCAGAACACTCGTGCACGGGAGAGAAAAGGTCAATTCCGAGCTCATAGTCAAGTCATAAACAAGCGGTGTCCATTTTGTCCAGCTCTTTTTAAAGTAAAATCTGCTCTAGAATCACATTTAAATAGTAAACACATGGATCAAGCTTCCAGAAGCGAATTTAATATTGATAATATACCAGATGAAGAGATATCATTAGAATCATCTCCATCTAATCCCAGTACACCAAATATGATACCTTCTTTGGTTTCTCCTATAAACAATGAAGTAGAAGCCACTTTAAAAAAGTACTACGAAGAGTCTATGAAACGTTACTTAACGGAACTGCAAGCACATTCTAGCAATGGCAAACAAGACATGAATAGTTCCCATTTTTTTAAAAATAGTATAGATTCCCCTCTGGATTTGAGCAAGCCAGTTGATTTGAGTAAACCAGTCAAGATAAGTCTAGGTAATTTAATTCACTATACTGAAGAACATAATAGTTCACAACATATACGTAGTAATAGTGATTGTGGGCCTCTTACTGATGTATCCGAAAAAAGTGTATGCGATGATGACAGTATGAGTGAAACTACAGAATTTCTCGACGACGAAAGTAATCCTACTAGTCCTGCATCAAGTTCTCAGAGTTCTAAACAAGGATTAAGTAACAACAGTTCAGGACATACTATTTCATGTGGAAGTATCACTGCAGCACAATCTGGAGGAAAAAGATATCGAACGCAGATGTCAACAACACAAGTAAAAGTTATGAAATCGTTATTCTCTGATTATAAGACTCCTACAATGACTGAGTGCGAAATGCTTGGACGAGAAATAGGACTTCCAAAGAGAGTTGTTCAGGTACACTAACTTGTTTTCTGTATAAGAGTAGTAATCAATTTAGTAAAAGTAATTTTTAATATAATCATTCAATATCTTTTTCTTCATCATGTTTTAGAATATAAAATATTATAAATAAGTTTTTAAGACATAAATAAAGCAGCACAAGAAAAAAAGTGCTTATTATAAGTAACGTTATATCAGTGTCTTAAATACATAGCACTCCCTTTTACTGCTTAGTTTATTTTCCAACATTAATTAATATTTAAGCCAATACTCTGACACATCTTAATATTACACAACAAGACAGTGTTACATATTATATCACAGAGACGGTGCAGCGCAAAACCGTTGAAGAATCGATAGGGTTGTTAAGTTCAAAATGCTTAAGCTATAGGTTCATGGGCTTCTTGGAATTCAATAGCTGTGTCTTAAGGTGGCTCCAGTGGCCTCAATGTTAAAATTATAAATAACCCAAGTGAGGTTAATAAAATTGAATTATATTCTTCGAATTCCCATCTTTCTATTCGTATAAAAAAAAATTAACGTTGACGATGAAAATTGTAAGAAATCATGCTTACAAAATCGTAGTTTTAAGACTGGTTAATAGATAGGAAATGCAAGCTTACGCGATATACAACCTACTGCTGCACTTATATAAATAACCCGTAAGGTGTAAAAAATATACTATCTTGTATATATTATTACGCAGTTTTCGATGACATGAGAAAAGTGTCTTGTTATCGAACAAAATCTTTAAATAATCGGAGACTAAGTATACAGTTGCAAGTGCAAGTCAGCTCTCAGCTGTCTGCATTCTGCAGAGTACATATATATAGGTATAACTACTCTTGAACTTAGGAGCGTACCGTAACAGTTCATCAATTAGGTCACCATAAAACTTTTTTGTTTTTTTATATTAACTCACTAAAGTAACAGATGAAATGTAGAATATGGCTAACAACAGTCTCTACGATAATTTTATACCATATTTTAAAGAAAATAATGATTAATTTTTAGTCTCCCCATTTTGATATGGCACTAGGCGCTGGAGCCACCTTAAGCAATGCTGGTTTGAGTCTTAAAATAATGTGTCAGACATTCGTCTTTTTATCCTCGAGGTATTCGTAAGTAGATTTATCATTGATAGAATCCTTATTTTTCCTACGGTTGCTGCAAGAATCGACTGACTTAATTTGCATAAGTAAATGTTTTCTAATGCAAGTTACTATATGAATAAAGGGTATTATACAATTAAAAACAAAATTTTACCATTACATTTAAAATAGAAAGTGTACAAAATATTTATTCAAGAATTCTTCCATTGAATTTTACTAAAAAAATAATGTTAATGTAAAAATAGTAGTCATTTGAAGTTTACGTAATTCATTCTCTATCAGCAAAACATGCAAATTCTGATACGAAAAAAGTAATGTTATCTTTTCGTCTCCAGTATTACAAAAAAATAGTAGGGAGAATGTAGTTAATATAATCAAGTTTTTTTTCACAATCACTTAATTGTAGCCACCCTTGTTTTGTCTGTAAGATAAATGATGTAAGAGTCTTAAAAATCGTCCTATTATCTTGTTTAAATTGCTTCTTTTAGTTATGCTACGTTTATTGTGATACTTAATAGACAAGTGTACTGCCAAGATTACTTCTAGGTTAGTTTAAATACCAAAGCTGAAGGTAATTTTTTTCATATGTCCTAAAGATACATCATGGAAAGTACAATTTTGATTCAATTACAATCTAGTTAACAGGATATATAAACTGACAATAAACACTTTCATCTACGGGGTATATTTCTTGTAAATTAAGCACCTGTGAAATTTCTGAAGTCAAATCCCTACTAAAAATATTCAGGTGACTTTTCATGTTATTTGTCAGGTGACATGTCAGGTAAAAAGTCATGCCAATTTACCATATAGAAGTGTCATGTAGAATTGTCATGTGGATTTTTATAAGCTAGATCTTCGGCAATTGAAAACTAAAAAAGTATAACTTGTACTTCTAACTGCTTAAAAGTTGTTAGAATAGCTTATATAAATAGTAAAAAAAAAGCATCTCTTAGCTCCAGTAAAAGGATTTGAACCTGGTCCGGATCATTGGTAGTCGAGTGTCTTTACCACTTGGCCAGAATGGATTAGACACTGGGGACATAATTTACGTCCTTATCAGATACATCTAAAACTAATATTTATTTTACGCTTTCGTGAATAACATTTACTGTCCTAGTTATCTAATTAATGATTAACTTTTTGTAAATGTACATTTTACATTGTTTCGTGTCTCTTAATACGTTCGTCCACAGTAAATCTAGTAATTGATTTTACAACTTCTTTTCATTCACGGATTTTACTTAAACTTCACCGATACTTTACTTCCAAGAGAAAAAAGTCTATTTTTAAAAATGTAATAAATTTGTTTTAACTGCTACAACAAAGTTGTGGATTACCTTTTCCTCCTTAATACTTTAATGTGCGTATCGAATACCAGCAGAAACGTCTTTAAGACAATGCTTTTTACAACTTCCAATTCTAGTTAAGATAACAATATTCAAATTTTTGTTTGAATCTAATAGTTTTCGAAGAAACCTTATTTTATGTACAAGCTTACGTTGCAGGAATTTATATAGTTCATCTGAGTACAGTGCAAATGAGTAAAAAATTTTTTTTTTGCTTGTATTCGATACGCACATTAAAGTATTAAAGAGGAACAGGTAATCCACATCTTTGTTGTAGCAATTACAACAAATTTATCACACTTTCATAAATAGACTATTTTCCTTTGGAACAAATAGTATATGTAAAGCTTAAGTAGAATCCGTGAACGAAAAGTAAGTGTGAAATCAATTACTAAATTTACTGTTGACGAACGTATTAAGAGACACGATACAATGTAAAATGTACATTTACAAAAAGTTAATTATCAATTAGGTAACTAAGGCAGTAAATGTTATTCACAAAATCACAAAATAAACCGTAGTTTTAGATATACCTGATAATGACGTAAATTCTGTCCCGAGTATCTAATCCACTCTGGCTAAGTGGGAAAGACACTCGACTACCAATATTCCAGACCAAATTCAAACCCCTTTACTGGAGCTAAGGGATGCTTTTTTGTTTTTACTATTCATATAAGCTATTCTAACAGGTTTTTTGCAGTTAGAAGTACAAGTTATACTTTTTTATTTTTCAATTGCCGAAGATCTAGCTTATACGAATCCATATGAAAATTTCATATGACAATTCTACATGACACTTCTATATGGTAAATTGGCATGACTTTTTATCTGAGATGTCACCCGACAAATAACATGAAAAGTCACCTGAATATTTTCAGTAGAGATAACACTACTTGCAGTAGTGTAAAAGGGATAAAAAAAGAACTAATGCAGAACTTCTTACTAAATCATAAGTTTATTTATATTATATTTCCAGTATTAAAAGTCATACATACATGTATACATGCATTAATGTATTTCAATTTCTATATATACACACACACACATATGTTAATATAAATGTAACGACTTTTTTACAAATTTCTACATACGTTGATCTAAATTTCTACTATCTAAAGACTGAATTTTAGCTGTAATACCTTGTGGTATTGTCATTAATTTTTAACTTACTTGTGTTGGTACAACTTCTTGTACGGTATGGCATTGCCTGATGTCTGAAAGTAAGACAGTTGATTTTTCCAAGTTTTTTTAAAATGCTTGATTTATCCAAGTCTGCAAGAGCTTCTTAGTAAGCTTTCAAGATTTAGAAGCTCGTATTAATACATTTTCTTATTTAAATAATGTTTGTTCAGCTTAAGGCCTGAAATCCGCGCTTGCCTCTTTTAATACTAAAAATAAAGGTAAAAGAAAGTGAAACTCTACTTATATGAAAGGTTTAATTGTGTAGCTGTGTGTTAGCGAAAACAGTGACTAAGCTTTACTGTGAACTTTTTTCAGTCCTCTATAATTTGACATAATAATATAAGTTCTACCATTGTGAATCTCTTAACTAAATCTACTTTGGTCTGAATTATAAGTGCGGTTTGCACCGTATCGTGTAATCAATTGTTTCATCCCTGCTCTAAAAGTCTAACATTTGTACTCAATTTCGTTAACATTTTGTACAGAAGCTGTTGTAACAAATTTTGCTATTGTCCGAGATTCAATGTTGTGTTGTTTTTTTTTCCATTCCCAGATTCACCAATTTAATGTTTTAAACAAATTCATATTTACTTCAGTTTTTTTCTGGAAAGCCCATTGTTCTAAATCAACGTCATGTACTGTTATTTATAATTTCATCGCTTCATCAAAATTATCAAAAACATATTATAGTGTCTTGAATAATTTATCATATCTACTACCTCTCGCTTCTACTTGCTTTTTCCAAAGCCGTAATTGTATCTTTCTAGTGACTTGTCTATATTTGTGCTTCACGGTATTCAACGAAAGAGGCTTTTTTCCATTTAAATAATATCTAACTGCTTTCTCTTTATACTTTCATTTAAAATTTTTTTATTCACGTGGATTATTCGATTCTTCTGAAAAATCCTCCAATCCTTTGTTTTCCTCATATTCAACACCCTCTGGATAAATATCATTATCATCACAAATACATAAAGTAGATTCTTCTTGAACATCAACATTAGAATGTTCTACATGTTGCCTTATTATTTACTCCAGTATATTGTGCAATTATATTTTTTCGTTACTAATGGTAAACTTTGGTTCTTCACTATTGCCTGGGTCAAATGCCATTGATAGTAATGTTGCTATAACATATGTTTTCTACTGTAAGAATCAAATTTCTATGAAGATAACAATACAGTGGTTAACCATTGCGGTAATGCTTCCACATTTCAATAAAACAATATTATTAATCGACTGCAGTTTCTGCTATTAAAAGGGCAGAGACCGTGACTAATTCATTAAGTGGTCTTGAAAAAAATATGCAGAAGCAATACCGCAATAGTTTACTACTGTATTATTATTTGTTATTTTGAGTAGTACCAAGCCT